CGCGCGAGGGGGGGTTCGGGGTGGTCTACCACTGCGAGGACCGCCGCCACCCCGGGCGGGGGGCGGTCGTGCTGAAGCGCCTGGCGAAGGCCCGGGCCCTGACGCACTCGCACTGGGCGGCCTTCCTGAACGAGCTGCGCCTGCACCGCGCCGCGGCCCACCCCAACATCGCCCGCCAACTCGAGGTCTTCCAGACGCCGGAGGACGTGGTGGTGGTGGTGGAGGCCGGCGACGGCGGGACCGCGCGGCAGGCCGGCGACTACGCCCGCCGCCACCGCCTCCCCCTCGAGCCGCTGGTGGCCTCGCTGCTCCGCCAGGTCGGGGCGGGGCTGGACTACCTCTACCACCACCTCCGCGTGGTCCACCGGGACATCAAGTTCGACAACGTCGTCCTCACGCGGGACTTCAGCCGGGCGATGATCATCGACTTCGGCCTCTCCGAGCAGCTCCGCGCGGACGGGGAGGGGGAGAGGGGGGGCCTGCACCTCTTCGCCCCCGCCGGGACCCCGGGCTACGCCTCGCTGGAGAACCTCGCGGCGGTCGTCTCCGGCCGGCCCTCCTTCCAGGCCACGGCGGCGACGATGCACAAGGGGGATTTCTTCAGCCTCGGGGTGATGGCCTACACCATGCTCACCCTCCACCACCCCCTGCGCTCCCGGGGCTTCGCCAAGCAGTACCTCGAGCTCCAGCTCGGGATCCGCTGCGAGGGGCCCGGGTGGGAGGGGATCTCGCGCGAGGCCGCGGACCTCGTCTCGCGGCTCCTGCAGAAGGACCCCGACGCCCGCCCCGACTACGCCGCCCTCTGCGCGCACCCTTTTATTCGCCAGAACGCCAGTAAAATGGCGGAAATCATCCGATATCGCCAGGAGGCGGACCGGCGGGACGACGCCGAGGAGCGCGAGCACTGGGTGCGGATGGAGCCCCCCCCCGAAGAGCCCGCCAAGCCCGGCGAGCGCTTCCCCCAGCCTAAACGCCACATCAGGGGACTCCTCAGCCTAGGGAAGCCAGGCCACGTGTTTTCAGACCGCATTAATGGCTGGAGCGATTCATCACTCCTTTAGTG